AGGTGTCACGGTGACCCTACAGCCTTGCTGAGGAATTTAGCTGTCATTCTGAGGTACATCAGGACACCATCAAAGGGCCCGATGGCTTCTGGTCGTGCCGGCTGCACTTGTATGGACAAGAGGAGTGCTCGAGGTGGGACAGAAAGTGAGACCAGAGGTGGTGGGGCTGTTGGGATGGTGTTGATGCAGCAGAGGGCCTGGAGCCCACAGATTTGGGAGCTCCTGCTCTGGGGGACGTGGGCTGCAGCCCCGGAGAGGCAGCTCGGCAGCCCTTGGGGCCCCCTCCGAAATCCCAGGTAGAGCAGATGGCACACAGCAGGTCGGACAGAGACTGTGCTCCCAGGGCAGCCTGGGGCACGTTCGCTCACGGAGGTCGGCCAGAAACCAAGCATTCAAAGGACAGGTTTAGGTCTTGCTTGTATAAACACTATTAGGACGGGAATGCTGATTAAAGTTTGAATCCTGCTCCACTGCTTATGACTGTGTGTCCTTTGGCAAGTTACTTCACTTCTCTGAAGCTCAGCTTCCCCTTGTGTGGAGTTAGTGGGCACATCACTGCAATACTGTGCTTACTCGGGAGAACGAGGTGCCGTTGATAAGGTGAGGCAGGTGCTTAGCTGGGAGATTGTAGTTGTTGCTCTTGCTGTGTTGTCCTTGTCCTTTTCATCGTTAGTGAGCCCCATCTTTCATCCCTCAGCTCCTCCTGCCCCTTGTAGCCGGGTCAGGGGCGAGATAGCGGTGGCCTTGCTTAGTTTTTCTTTTGCAAGGAGTAGGAAGAGGGGTGATGGATGGGCTGGGGACATGCAGACGTTCCCCAGTGTAAGATTCCCTGGGAGATTTTGCCTTTTGTTTTAACACAAACCCTAAACTCCACCCTCCCTCCCCCTTTTATCTCCATCTGGGCCTTGGCATTTCCCCACTCAAGTTCAGCCTGTGTGGATGAAGCACTCTGATCTCAGGTTGGTGCACGGGTTCTGGCCTTGAGGCTGTCTTCATAACTCTCAAGTACTTGGCTGTGGAATGCTCTGTCATCTGGAGACTTCCAGGGATGCATTTCTGTGCTCAGTGTTTGCTGTCTCCTCCCTTCTTCCCCCGTCTGTGTGTCTTACCCAATAAAGGGTATCCCCTCTTCCCGGGTATTGGCACCCTCTGCCCCGAAGCCTCTCTCAGAGCATCACTGCCTTGCACTTTGCTTGGGCCCATCCCCTCTTGTGCTCACTTGGCTCCCCGCGTCTTCAGGGCACTCCAAACGGTGCTGCTCTGTAAGAGACAGCAAAGACAGTGGGTAGGTCCCAGTAGAGCTCATGAGGGCCAGTTAAACAATCAGTAGAGAAACACAGAGTGCTTGATAGAAAGTGGTCTTGCCACAGTGGAACTTTGTTCCTGGTCATGGGGGCAGTGGGGAGGGTTGACTGCTGCAGGGATGATCGTGTCTGAAATGATCATGAAGATGCAGTTCACCTAGGAGACTAAATGCATTCTACATTAAAAAGCCCTATCCTGGGGCGCCTGGGTGGCTCAGTCGGTTAAGTGTCTGCCTTCAGCTCAGGTCATGATCCCAGGGTCCCGGGATTGAGCCCCGCATCGGGCTCCCTGCTCCGTGGGGAGCCTGCTTCTCCCTCTCCCTCGCCTGCTGCTCCCTCTGCATGTGCTCGCTCGCTCTCTCTCAAAAAAAATAAATAAAATCATTTAAAAAAGCCCTATCCTTTTCCCTAAGGTTAACATGGGTGAGTGCGGGTTGGAGAGTTCTGCTGGTCCTCTGGTCCGCTGATGGCCGTGGGGCTGCATGTGGAGCCAAGGGCTCATATGGAGCTTTTGATAACCAGTCTTGTAAAAACCTGGCAGTGGTTCACTGTCCTCTTCGCTTGTCCTGTCTTCCTATCTTCTGGGAAACCCAAGCTTCTGGCGGTTACGGTAAAGGTCTGTCAGGGCTACTTTAGGTATGTTCATTGTCATGCTGTATGTGGTTTTGTTGTTGTTGTTGTTTTTAGCTCTTGGGAAGCTGATGGGCGGTAGTAGCTAAGTCATAATGTGTAGAAGATGGATGGATTTGATTACAAACATGAGAATAATTCTGAAAGATCATCCACAAAATTCACGAACAAACAAAAAGCTGGGATAAGATATTTGTAACCAAAAAACAGAGAATTAAAGGATTAAGATCCTTACAGAAATAAAGATTTGTAAACTATAGGCAAAGGGCAGAAGGAGATAAACCACAGAAGAGTCTTTGTACTTGCTAACAGACATGAAAAACTCACGAGTCAACACATCACAAAATCTCTGAAAAATTCTCTACCGGCGCAGCTTTGTGGTAGGGTTCCCGAGCTTGGATGAGATGGGATCGACTCGTCACTGGTGGCACTGCCAATTAGGAGAGTCTTTCTGGACGAGAATTTGGTTTTATGTCTCAAGAGCCTCAAAACTCTTCTACCTCCTTAGTCTTCTTCAGGGACTCTATTCCAGGGCATTGGGGTGTGCGAAGGGTTTGTTACGCATTTCATCATTTGCCTGCCTCTCTGCAAACTTTGCCTTTGCTAGGAATTCTTTGTGTTGTTTTGTTTTGAATTGTTGTAAAACATTTTAAGTGAGAACACAAGGAAAAGGGTAATTTGGAGTGAAATCTCAGCCAGGGCTACAGGTAGAGCCTTCAGGGTTTTCTAAACAATGTCCTTCTAAACAACTTTCTAAACAACTTCCCCTCTGAGGACAGAAAGTCCTCCCTTTTATGTATTGGAAACTACATAGTAAAATGGGTCCCCATATTCCCTACCAACTGCAGAAATGAGCAGAAATGGCCCGCTCATCCCAGTTATTGTAAAGGGAAAATTATTTTAAAAGTCACAAAATTGGCAGTAAGTCCCAGAGACTTATTCCTTTACAGAGTTTGCTCTATCTGGTGACATCCATGTCCCTGCTTCCCAAACCGGAACATGTATCCCTTGCTCTGTGCTCTGGATCCACGTGGCACACCGGGCTGTCATTTTTGGGAGGAGGGAAACGTTTTTAAACTAGGGTTTCTCAGCCTTGGTACTATTCACATTTGGGGCCAGTTAGTTCTTTATTATGGGTCTGCCCTGTGCATTGGAGGATGTTTATCAGCACTCGTGGCCTCCACCCGTTACATACTAGTAGCTCTCCCCTGGTTTGATGACCTGGAAGGTCTCCAGACATTGCCAAATGTCCCTTGGAGGGAACATCACTGCTGGTTGAGAACTACTGCCCTTTTTTTTTTTTTTTTTTTTTAATTTATTTGTCAGAGAGAGAGAGAGAGTACAAGCAGAGAGAGCTGGCAGAGGGAGAAGCAGGCTCCCCACTGAGCAAGGAGCCCAATGCGGGACTCGAGACCAGGACCCTGGGATCATGACCTGAACCAAAGGCAGACGCTTAACCTGCTGAGCCACCCAGGTGTCCCGAGAGCTACTGCTTTAAATAGATAGGGATATGATGTAACCAAGAAGGCAAAATGTGCACGAACATTTAAACCAAAAGAGCCCCTCAAACCACTTTGATGTGTGCACTTGATTCTGTTCTACTTAAGGCAACGTGATGTTCTGGCAATGGTTCATTTTCCTTTTTTGCACTCTACCTACTGAACTCCCAGATTTTTGTATAATTCCTTCTCTTTTCTTATTTGTCTGTATTTCAGTTTCTCCCTTGGTTCATCCAGTCATTGTTGAATGAAAGAGTCTCTAACAGAGTTCCTTGAACAGGTTTCCTACTTGTATTTCTAACATCGAGTAGGTGTGACTTCACATTTGCACGACAGCTTGGCTGGGTTATTCACTCTCAGTGGGACATTAATTGGTGCTGAGATATGACATAATTCTGATGAATGTTCTGTCCCTTCTCACCCCTACCTGCTTGTGGTATTTTTTTTTTTTTAAATGAAACTTGGGGCATACTTAGACATGTTTTATTGTCCAGATGCCAACCCTTGTAGGGAATCCTTTGTGTCCTCTCATTTTTTGAAGCCAAAATTCCCCAAATGCTTGTTAATTTTTGGGTGGATCTCTTTTATTGTCCAAGTCATACTTTTGTTTGAAATTGAGTTTTTAATTTTCTTCTTCACCGAAACTTGGCTGCATAGAATTGTTTCAGTAATTTCTTACTCTTGACTTTTGCTTAGATTTTCTCTTAGCCCAGAGCATTGCAGTTTTCCTCATCAACCAATATCAGTTTCTCTGAGCATTCCAGATCCATCTTGCTCTCCTTCCCCCTCCTCCCTTATCTCTTACCATTTTACCTCCCTTCCTTTTTACTTTGTCTTTCTGATTTCTTCCTTAGGTTTATGCTGTTATTCGATTGATATGGAATGTTTTGGCTCTGTGTTTTGTATGGCATTCTTTTAGCCCACTTGAAGGTCATCTTGACACGTGCCTAGAACTTTGTGTGGTCATTTAATCCCAGTTTGGTTTCATCTCTCTCTCTCTTTTTTTTAATGCTTTTGAGTGCCTTCCCCCACCTTTAATTGGTCACCTATAGGGAATTCAGAACTTTGATATCCATGCAGTCATAGTATATTAGCTATAACTGCATTCACTGTCTGGTGTGGTCATCACCAGTCACACGTGACTATTTAAATTCCAGATACAAGTAAAAGTTGAGTTTCTCCAGCAGCCTCGTGGGTAGTGACGATTGGGTTGGACGGGGCAGATGCAGCACATTTTCCTCACTGCAGCAGTCTCTGTTGGAGAGTGCTGGGCTCTGAGAGCTCTACCCTCCAGCGTGTCAACAGACTCGCTGTGTAGCCTTTTCATCCTTGGACTTGGGTATGGCTGATGGCCCAGTTCAGCGGTGCTCCTCCCAGGGGGCGATACAGAATCTGCACGACTAACTGAAGATGGCGGGGTCTTGAAAAGTGTGATTAAGTAATGTGCTTTTTTTGATGTTTGGATGTAACTTGTACTGTAACCAACTTCTCTCTGCAGGAGATGCAGTGAATGTGAGTCCTGTGCTCTTTATGCGCTTGTGGTGATTTGCCTGCTTCCTCTCTCTAGGTGCTAAGAGATGGCGGCGCTTGTGGGGCTCTTCTCTGCCTGAGCATCGGGCCCTCCAGGCACTGGGAGAGCCGGCGCAGATCCTGGGCTCCTCGCCTGAACAAGCCTTCTCTTCCAGCCCCGGCAGTCCAGCAGCTGAACTGCTCGTTTTCTCTTAATGATGGGCATCGGTAAGAACACTACGTCCAAATCCATGGAGGCTGGAAGTTCAACTGAAGGCAAATACGAAGATGAAGCGAAGCACCCTGCTTTCTTTACTCTTCCGGTAACTCTATTCCCTTCTTTCTCTCCGCTTGACTCACTCTCAAGTAGTTCCCGTGTTGAATCAACATAGGATTAGATTTAACACTCCTGTTTTCACTGAAGGTTAAGGCATTCAAAAACGAAATGCTTTTCACGTGAGATAGTCTTCGGGAACCCTGTTGGCTGACTAGTTTTGGCTCTGCCGTCTGCTGGAGTCACCTGATGGGGTTAACTCCAGGAGGGAAGCCTGCATTGCTGTGAACATTGTACAGCCAGCCAGCCCAGAGTTTACTGTGTGCTGGAGGATGCTGAAAGCTTCATTCTAGCTCCAAAAATGTATTCTAATGAGGTAACCTGAAACCCAACTTCAAACTTTCATTGCAAGGTAGGGGAATGAATGAATGACTCACCATTTGGAACCCAGAAGTCATGCTTTGTATTATGGCAGCAACATCCAAGATGTAGTTTTGCCTGAATAAGTGTTACCAGTTAGAGAAGGCTGATTACACACATTCACTATGTTCAGGGCCAATACTTTTCCAGATGTAGGATTATGATTTGATGTGTATAAAGGTACTTAAAGTGTTGGTTCAAAAGAGGAAAAAGCTCTTTAGAGAGAACTTGCCTCCAAGTGTTTTTCTCTTAATACTAGACATGAGGTTAAGGGCAAGAATATCATTCTAGGACTCCTTAAAGCATGGTCCTGGAATTTACCTCACTGTGGCATTACTCAGTAAGAAGGATGTGAACACCCATCCTTAAGTACATTGACTTGACTGGCCTTCACATTTTGATTTTTACCCTATTGATTCACAGAGAGATGTCCCACTGATTTTACAACGGACATCACTGAAATTCTTCCTATAAAGTGAAATTTTTAAACTGGATTTTCTGTTGTGTTGAAGGCTTAGGGTTGACAGGTTTTCTAGAGGAAGAAGCAAGGTGGTTTTCCAAGTTTAAATTAGATCGAATTTGAAAAATGAAAGGAAGGTTTCGTGCCTGGGTATTGATTTGTCTCTCCTGCTGCCTGAGAGCCCAGCACACCATTTACCCTCACCCTCCACTTGAGAGACATGAACTTGAGCTTGCCGTCCCCACCCACCTGCCTTGTCATTAGGGCGGAGAGTTTTAGGTTGACTTGTTTTCATGTTCAAATTGTGATATTCTATAGTTAGTTAGATCCACGGCATATGCTATCCATTTTCATATTTATTCCCTGTTGTTGGTTTCCCTCTCCCTCCCTCTTCGATCACTTTTCATTTAAAAAAACAAAACACAACACTGAGGGTCTGTGAACGGTCACTACCTTTGTGTTTGTACAGCTGAAAATAACTGTATTTTGCTCTCAACTATTGGGTGAACTTCTGTTAATGACACTAGAGTTTACTAGTCTCTCTGTGTTTCTCTTTAACTGCTTTCTCATGGTTTGGATATCTTTTTCTAGGGCCAACTTCTGGATGGATCACCCAGTGTTATTTTCCATTTACTAATTCCTTGTGAACAGTCATGTGTTTATGTTGAATTTTTGTTGCAGGGATTATAGTTCTTATTTCTGAGATTTCTATTTGGTTCATTCCTGCCTATTTTTGGTTCTTAATTTCTTGTATGCGTGTGTTTGTGTTGTTTAAAAATGTTTCTTCATTTAAATCACTGAGGACCCTAATGCATTTATTTTAAAGTAATTCTCCAGTTGTTCTGTTTTCTATCTGGCGTAAAATCCTCTTCTGAGTGTTTCTTTTGAGACTTTCTTCCCTCTCCTGCCACCCCCCTGTTCCCCTGGCTTCTGTTGCTGTGGTTTTACATTCTCCCTTCCTAGATCCAGTCCAGACCTGGGTCTTATGGTGGAGGTCTGACTCTCTCCCACAGTGGTGCCAACCATGACGTGACCTGCTGGGCCCTGGCTTTGAGCACTGGACCTGGTTCTCATCCCCCTTGTTTGGGGGTCCCCAAGTCCCTGTCTCCCTGATGGAGTCGAGGGCCGCCTGACTGAGGTCTACCAGGGCTCAGAGCCTCGCTGGGCCCAGTGTCGGCCTATTTGTTACTTTGTTTCTTGTTACAGAAGGTTTCTCTGGGGGTTTTTCCCTCTACCATTATTTATAGGAGTGGGGCTGGGAAGGACTGTTCCTCATAGCATTAGCTTCCAGATCCATCTTCACTAGGAGTCCCTGCAAATACATGGGAGCCGGGAACATGGACATAATGTGTAGTTGGGTATAAATACAATGTGAATATAAAGTTAGTTTAACACTACAGCAGTTTTGTTAGAGAACTTGCAGAATATTCCCCCACTGTGTCAGGCTATAAAGATAAGTATTAAAAAGGGAATGAAAAAAGAGTAATAGAGTTGGCCTCATGGGATCAAGCTGCTGGGAGGGGAGACATGCCAGGGGGAGGGGGCCGTGAAGGTCAGCACACGAACTGCCAGGATGACGTGGAAGCAGGCATGTCGGGAAGTGTGTTCACATGAACTCCTGCAGAGCTTATGAGAAAGCAGAGGGCGAAACAGCAGAAGGAAAACAGATGAAAACAAAAGTCTATCAAAGAATGTTTGTAAAGAAATAGTTCATGTGATGGAATTTGGGGTTGTAGAAAGTTTTGTTAGGAAATATTTTGTAATATAATAAAAATAGGAACACTGTACTGCCCATATTTAATCACTAGTGAAATTGCTGCCCCTTAGAAAACTTAAAAGTAAGATAGAAGACCGTTTTGCATGATTTGCTTGTTAACAGGATAGTCTAGGGGGCTGGAGCAGAGCTGGTCTCTTTCCACTGTCCAACTGGTAGGATTATTTTGGTCACTGCCTCTCTGCTCTTGGGATGTTCATCTGTGTCTCCCTGTTCCCCGTTCGGCCCAGAAGGTCTTAGACACTAATTTCATAGACTCTGACAACCTTAGAGCTAAAAGTGGCTGTAGAACTCTCCTGGTGGTACTGTGGGAAAGTGAAATGCAAGGATTTGCCCAAAGCGTCTGGTTCACACAGTGTGTTAAGTAAAGTTTATATCCGTTGGATCCCACAGTCTCGGCCCCAGGTAGCTCACCACTGGTGGGCAAGACAGGAGCTGCATACAGATCACACTGATGACAGGTGCGGTGCACACTGATCTTCTGTGTTGGGCAGCTGGTCTTGCGGATGGTCTTAAAAAGGAAGAGTTGGGGGGCGCCTGGGTGGCTCAGTCGTTGGGCGTCTGCCTTTGGCTCGGGTCGTGGTCCCAGGGTCCTGGGATTGAGCCCCGCATCGGGCTCCCTGGTCCCTGCTCCGTGGGAAGCCTGCTTCTCCCTCTCCCACTCCCCTTGCTTGTGTTCCTTCTCTCGCTGTGTCTCTCTCTGTCAAATAAATAAATAAATCTTAAAAAAAAAAAAAAAAAAGATTTGGGATGGGTGGTGATGGAGCTGCTGTAGCTGTGCTCTGGCGGGAGTAAAAGGTGAAAAAGGAGGCTCGGTCTCGTTGCCTCCAGCTACTTGTCCCCGGCAGCATCTGGCTGACTTGGTGATTCTGGTTGTGTTTTTGTTTTTCTTGTCCTTATAGCATGGCCCCTCGGTGCACTGACAAATTGTATTTGTCTTTTTCTCGACATCTGTGCTGCCCAGGGCAATAACTGCTAGCCACATGTGGCTATTTAAATTCATTAAAATGAAAATCTAAAATTCAGTTCCTCGATTGCACTGATCAAGTGCCTGATAGCCACACAAGGCTACTGGGTAGCCCATCTCTTTTTACTGGCTGGTCAAGGCTTTGCTAGACTCTAAAATGCAGGCCCTTACTTTCATGTTTGCTTTGGAATCAGAAACTGGGGCTCAGGCTGTCAGCTATCAAGGTGCTAGAGACCGCAGGAACCAAAGCTGGCTGCTCCTCGAACCAGGTTTGGGGAGGGTTTGCTGTTGCTGGCTGCTGAGGGTAGGGGGGTGGGCTTCGGTGGCGGCGTGCTGAGGATTTTATCATTAGAGATTTTCTTTGGCATCCTGTGTTGGGTAAGAGTTTCCTCAAATGTGGCAAGAGCTGATTTTTTTTTAGAAACTCACATGGAAAGGGTATCAGTTTCTTTTTCTTTTTCTTTTCTTTTCTTTTCTTTTAATTTATTATTTTTTTAAGAGTGCACACGCCTGTGTGAGCAGGGGCAGGGAGGGTGAGAGAATCTTAAGCAGGCTCCATGCCCAGTGCTGAGCCTGACGCAGGACTCGATCTCATCACCCTGAGATCATGACCTGAGCCAAAATCAAGAGTTGGATGCTTAACCTGCAGAGCTACCCAGGCACGCTGGGAATCAGAGTTTCTTTCTTTCTCTCTGTCTCTCTCTTTCTCTCTCTCGCTCTCTTTTTTAGGATTTTATTTTTTGACATAGAGTCGGAGAGAGAGGGAACACAAGCAGGGGGAGTGGGAGAGGGAGAAGCAGGCCTCCCACGGAGCAGGGAGCCCGATGCGGGACTCGATCCTAGGACCGGGATCATGACCTGAGCCGAAGGCAGACGCTTAACCATCTGAGCCACCCAGGCGCCCCTAGAGTTTCTTTACACAAAGTAAAATAAAGGTCCATGACAATACTTTAAAGAGAAAAAGAGTAAATCCGTACATAGAAGAAGAATAATGAATAGGTCACAGTAAGAACAAGAGCTTTGCAAAGCCCCAGCATTCACAGAAGTTAGATCATGTGATCAGAGTTGATTTTAAATAAGAGAAACATAACAAAAGATCTCCTTATCCCACGGGAATCTTGTTAGGCAAATTTGTGTGCTTTTAAAGACAACTAGGAAACGTGTAATACGAGTGAATGCCACGTGGCAAGAAATTAGAACCAGAAAAACAGCAAAAAGTCTTGAAGAACTGTCATACCCTAAGGGCACAGGCCAGGAAGGACAGCCAGGAAAAGGTCTGCAGTTCTGTGTGGAGAGCTCCTGTATCGTCTGAATTTGGAGGACTGTCCAGGGGAAACCAAGTTAATAGCCTGAACTTAGCGTTGGCAGAGGGCCACCAGCAGTACAGCCTGTTTCAGCACGTCGGCATTCCAATGCCAAGTTCACGGC